AACGCGGAATCAAATTCGGCGTTTCAAATAATTCCAATTTTTCGGGTTTTGTCACCAAAGGCAAGAGAATCGTTTTGGCGACCATGACGACAATGAGAAATACAACCTGCAATTTTCAGTCCTGCTATGTAGATTTTAGAACATTATTTACTGTTTTTACAAAGAGTACATAAAAATCTACATAACATGACCAAATGCAAGCTACGTCATAGCTTGGGAAATTAGACATACCTGTGTACGAAGGAACTTTAAAACATGCAAACAAAATAACAACGCCGATACAAGGAAGTGTAAACTTCACCATGTCCCACAACCACGAAGCAGTCCAGTAGCTAATGGGATCAACACCGCTAACGAACTGCACATGTTTTGCACCGTTCGTTCGCTCCTGGACGACAAAAACGACAAAATATGAAGCAAGAGACGCCATGTCAGCCAGCAGAAAGGCAGCTATAATAAGACCAACATTGTTGCTGGAAAGAAAATGAAAGTTAATGAATTTGACCTTGTTGCCTTAGTAACTACTGATCGTTGGCAGATCACTTTAAAGAAAGTGGAGCAGGGAGACTGGGGGCTATTGCATCCTACTATTGATTAGACCTTTTTGCCTTAGCAACTATTGATCATTTGTAGATCACTTCAGAGAAAGCGGAGCAAGGGGACTGAGGGCTGTCACCCCCCCGAATCCCTTCTTTCCCACTTTCACCTAACTTTGGCAGTCGATAACCCCGCCCCCTAATAAAAAATATGCTCAGCGATCCCTGCCTTTGAAGTGAACACAGTCGTATGTCAGGAATAAATCAGTCTCTCATACATATATATATATAAATATACACCGTACATCCTGTGTCCCAAGTTAAGGAGTCACCATTGCACTATGGTGATAGCCGGGAGGGGACATTGCTATACAAGCTGTATACATTACAACAATAGTGCAATGGTGCTTCCTGCACTTGGTACACAGGATGCACTGTTAATATATATCAATTCATAATACATACATATAAATTTCAATAGAAATTGGAGAGACTAAAAAACAATACCTGATTACATAAAAACACGGGCGCTGATTGGTTGAATGCTCAAACAATCGTTGTTTTTTTAACTCAGATTGCGTGATTTTTGCAGGAAATTTAACAGTGAATGATGTTTTATTAAAACGATATTCATTAAAGAAATACAAAATATATTTACTTGTCCCTATATAATTATAGGAACGCTTGTTGTGAAAGTTTGGGAAAAGCTCGAAAGCAAAAAATAACATACTCATCTAAATCATTTGATTTTTGCTCCGTAGTTCTCGGCAAAGGATGATTTGTCACTGTGATTAATTTGTTTTTGTTTCCGGAACTGTTTTTCAAAATGGCGTTGTCCACTGCACTCAGTGCCACCGCTATCGCATGATAAGCTTGATCGTTGAACCAAGCCTTGGCTATTGCTAAATAAGAACACACATAAATTACCTTAAATTCGCCAAGGTTCTTAGCTGATCTACCTCATATTTATGTTTTCTAATGATCTGCAGCACGTTTCTTTATCTACAGATCCTTTCTTCATCTACTGATCCTTCCTTGATCTACAGATCCTTCCTTGATCTACAGATCTTTCCTTGATTAAAAAATCCTTCTTAATCTAAAGATTCTTCGTTGATCTACAGATAGATCATTCCTTGATCTACAGATCCTTCCTTGATTACAGATTCTTCCCTCATTTACAGATCCTTCCTTTATCTACAGATCCTTCCTTCATCTACAGATCCTTCCTTCGTCTACAGATCCTTCCTTCATCTACAGATCCTTCTTTCATCTACAGATCCTTCTTTGATTAAAAAATACTTCTTGATCTACAGATTCTTCGTCCAACTACAGATAAATCTTTCTTTGATCTACAGATCCTTCTTTGATCTAGAAATTCTTCCTCGATCTACATAAACTTCCTTGATACTTTCTTTATCTACAGACCTTTCCTAGATCGACAAGTCTTTCTTGATCCCCTACAACATTTTGAACTCATTAAAAAAGCATAAAATGACAGATATTGATTAGAACTATTCCACCATCATAGTTACACACCTTTAGGGAGGGTGAAAACAATGTACACATTTAATATAAACGACAACTTTTTTGACAATACACATGTTTCGACATCTCAAGATGCCATCTTCAGTTTGAGTGAAATAAGCAAACAAAGCAAACAAAGCAACAACCTCAAACTAGACACCAAAACTACTGACACGACGATCACAACCAACACAAATGAAAATTCCAAAATAACAACTCTATACTTCAAACTACCATACATCGGGCATTACTCACGACACACACAACGCAGACTTACAAACATTATGAAACGCTTCTGTACAGATATTGACATTCGACTGATTTTCACATCATTCAAAATCAAAACCTTTTCTCATTCAAAGACCCAATCCCTGATTCAATTAAATCTATGGTGGTATATGAATTCAATTGCGCGGGATGTAATTCCCGATACATTGGCGAAACTTCGCGCCATTTATCCACCAGAATCAGGGAACATACCACAACAGACAAAAACTCTCATATCTACCGACACCTTCTTAAATCTCACTCATGTAAAACCAACTATTCACCTATTCCACCATCATCGACACTGCGGACACCTCATTCACCCTTAAAATCAAAGAAGCACTCCACATTAACAAAGCTAACCCTGACCTCAATGTTCAAGTTTTTAAATTCAATACAATATTTAGTTTATAATACGCTCGGACGCTCCTCATTAATTTATCTTATTTCCTTTTTATTTATGTATCATATTACTTTTATATAAACCTTGTATCACCTATTATATCACTCATACTGAACATGGCAACATGAGATGTCGAAACATGTCTATTTTCAAAAGTTGTCGTTTATATTAAATGTGTATTGGCAATAGTGCTTTTACGAAATTATGAAAACAATGTAGCTACACAAGCAAGCAATACCTTTTTATTTGCTTCAGTAAATGTCGCTGCAACCAGATAATGTCTGTTGAAGTATCCAATGTTTCTTCTTTTGGCTTTTCAAGCAAATATTTCGTCATGTTCCCATCATGGAAAGCACTATCCTTGTCGATATCAACGAACTTAGTGTACGAGCTTGCCGAATGTGTGTACATTTTAACCAGATCATTTATCTCCCTGAAAAAGATTTATTTACGCTTACATCAAATTTTAATATCTGATCGGGATTTTAAATCTGGGCGCGCATTATTCAAAATGTTTTGCTGCGAGAAGTTTAGTTTAATGCCCAGAAATCGAAAACGGTTTTGTTCTTGTAACAAAGATATGAAACAAAAGCACGTCGCTGATTATATTTACTCATCCTAAAGAGGGTTTAGCACAGTGATGGGGCATTGAAATTAAAATAATAGATTAATTTCTAAGTCTCCCTTTTTTAAAACCCTGTTATTAACCATGTTAAGTAGTTTACCATAAGAAAATTGAAACATTTTTCCCTTAAAATCTAAACAATTTAACCAAATAAATGTTTGTGAATGATGATCGTCCAGGTTAATAAAGTCCTGAGAAGGAATAATTTTGTTGTTGTTGACTGACGTTTCGACAACCTTAGCGGTAGTCATCTTCAGAGTCAAATGAGGAGTAAACGTCAGGTTAGCCGTATTTGTTATCTGGTTCTTACGTCATTGTATTGTGTGTACAGGAAATGTGTATTGTCATTGTGAGTTAGTGTGAAGTGAAATATTTTATTTTTAGCTGTGATGTGTGATTTAGGTGTGATGTTTTTAGTTGTAATGTGTGGGTGTCAATTGTGGATTTGTCATTGTGAATTAGTGTGAAGTGTATTGTTTTTAGTTGATCGTTTGTTTGTATTGTGAATAAGTCGTTTGTAAGGTGCCGGTAATTGCTGTGATCTGTCCAGGGGGGTTTGTTCAAAGTTAGTATACCAACATTCTAATGCAAGCCGTTGTCTATAGTCAGTACTGTAAGTGATGCATTTTGCCGAGTCCCAGTCAATGTTGTGCTTTGTGATTCGGTGATGTTTGGCAATGTGATTAGTTTTGTCTTGTTTCTTAGTAGCTCCTTTGTGTTCAGTAAGTCTTATGTTTAAGTTCCTGCCAGTTTCCCCGATATAGGAGGCGTGGCAGTCGGAACAGTTTATTTTGTAAACTGCACCTTGTCGTTCGTTGGGTTGTTCTTTATCCTTTATGTTCGATAGTACTTGTCGTAACGTTGTGATTGGTTTATGTGCGACACCTATGTTGTATGGTCGTAAGATACGCGAGATAGTCTCAGACGTACCTTTGATGTAAGGTATCGTTGCTATTGTCACTGAGTTGTTCGTTTCACAGCAATTACCGGCATCTTACAAACAACTTATTCACAATACAAACAAACGATCAACTAAAACATTACACTTCACACTAATTCACAATGACAATACACAATTGACACCCACACATTACAACTAAAAACATCACACCTAAATCACACATCACAACTAAAAATAAAATATTTCACTTCACACTAACTCACAACGACAATACACATTTCCTGTACACACAATACAATGACGTAAGAACCAGATAACAAATCCGGCTAACCTGACGTTTACTCCTCATTTGACTCTGAAGATGACTACCGCTAAGGTTGTCGAAACGTCAGTCAACAACAACAAAAACAGTCCATCTCAGGACTTTACCTGGACGATCATCATTAACAAACATGTAACGATACTCCCGGGTTCAAACCATTTCCTTAACCAAATAAAATTGAACAGCTCTGGTTTAAAAATTCGAACAGTTCCAAGAATTTAAATCGAACAAGTCACAAACATATTTTACCAGAAGTTAGCAGGAAATAATATGTAAATGTGATTCTATTTGATTAAATATACAACTGGAAGGCTACTTTTTATACATTAACATGCCTTTTTCTCTGGGGACTAGTTTAATTGCTGGCTTCAAATTTTGGCGGGAAGTAGCCGTCCAGTTATATTTAAGTTCAATATATCTACCTGTTCGGGTTTCCTACAATTGAGTAAGGTGCAATGTTATCATGAAACATAGCTGTCGTCAAAATTCTGGGAGGAGAGTCCTCGGGCTTAGGAATCGTCTCAATGGCAATCAGAGCAAACATTGTGTAAATAAGAGGCACGAGAAGCTCAAGAATTATGGCTATCTTATGTCGACGCGAATGAAGAAAGCGTTTCTTGAACATAGCACACCACCTCTGCAGAAACAAGGTTATTCCGTAGTTTAACTGTGGCTTTGTTGTGTTTGTTATTGGCATCATGCTGTTGTTGCGTCCATATAATGTGTCTTCATCATTCACTGTACTCACAGAAGCGTTTATTGCATCCGCTAGATGACGCACATAAGAAAAAGTTTGACTTGAAACACCATGAGCACAAAAAACATTTATTCAGTGTTGGTCAAATCAAAACCACAAATCAGCATTTTCTAGAAATGAGTCAATGCTAAACAATCAACAAATACCACTTTTACCACAGCTTACTCTCGAGTGTATCATCTAAAACCTCGTCGCAATCCTTTACTTTCATTGATATCCTGATCAATCAACAATTACCACTTTTACCACAGCTTACTCTTGAGTCTATCATCTAAAACCTCGTCGCGATCCTTTACTTTCATTAATATGCCAATCAATCAACAATTACCACTTTTACCAGATCTTATTCTCGACTCTATCACCTAATGTCTATGCACAATCCTTTACTTTTATTTATACCAAGAAATCAGCACTTACCACCTTTACCATAACGTACCTTTGAGTCTATGACGTAATGTCCCATCACAATCCCTTACTTTCATTGATATACCAGGAAATCAACATTTACCACCTTTACCACAGCTTACCTTGGAGTCTATCATTTAACGTGTCGTCACATTCCGTTCCCACTTTCATAAAAACTTCTTCCATGGTTGTCATTGAAGCGCCATAACTAGCAATTCCCAGCTCCTTTCGTCGAGTCTCCAGTTCTGAGAACAACGTGGAAAAATTCCGCGAAGATTCCCGAGGCAAGATGTAGGACAGTTCAGCGCCTAACGTAGGTAAAAAAAAGTATTGCAAAGGACTACTGGCTAAACACTACATCGAAAAACACTTATAACAAAAAAAATGTATACTATTTAAACTTCATACTGATAAAATATGATAAAGTAGGTAAAAATACAAAGCCTTCTCAACAAACGACAGCTTAGTTTGAGCTGACGGGTTTCATTCTTTTGAAATAAAATTTATATATACATGTGTTGTATACCTCGAGAGTCTTTGAAATCAATTGTTAAACATAATTACTAGTCTGATGATGTTTTGTGTATAGAAGAAACGTAACTACCAATAAATAATTATTTCTTTTCAAAAAATGAATTCGAATTTTATGTTTGGCAATTGTTTTTTTAATACGAATACGTTCATATGAATTTGTCAAACAATAAATTTTGCGTTGTTTCCACTTGCTAAAATCATTCAACGCTCGTCACTCCATCGTATCCGGCAGATAGCTGCTGGCTCATATCTGCAGGCTCAAACTATAAAGTTTCTTAGAGAAGTACATTAAAACTTACCAGCACGACTATCCAATTGGCCATTCGGGACGTACTCTTTAACAAGTTCATCAATTTTGTGTTCTTTACATTCTGGTTCTTTGACCATCACTATATGATAGCCCATGCTATAATGGTTTTTCAAAAACAATGAACTACCACAACAACGGATTTTGCCCTCGGCCATTATCGCAATGCGGTCTCCTAAAAAGTCGGCCTCGTCCATGGAATGTGTCGTCAGCAAGATCGTTCGTCCGTCACGATACTTCTCAAGCAGTTTCCAAGTAAACATGCGGGTAGATGGATCCATACCGGAAGTAGGTTCGTCAAGCATTAACACCTTGAGGGAGTGAGTTGCTGAATATTTTAACTTAATAATTAAAAGCATATCTTCTAAGAAGACTTTAAAATAGATTTATGCCTAAGGAGAACAGATCTTGAGTTTTTAAAGACTTAAGTCTAGAGTTCTCATCAGGAAATATTTGATGTGTAAAAACTTTAGTCCTTATATACTCCAATCTAGTGTCTTCATAAGGAGTGATCTGATGTTGAAACTTCAGTTCTTACATACTCCAGTCTAATGTCTTCAATTGAAGTGATTTGGTGTTGAAACTTGAGTCCAAAATACCTCAGTCTATATCACGAGTGATCTTCAGATGTTCATTCTAGTAATAAAACAACTGCACGTGATGTGCACGTGATAATATCTACCTTCGTTTTTCCAATCAGCGCTACTCCTAAAGATAGCTTGCGTTTCATCCCGCTAGACAAATATCTTGTCTGAGCGTTAGCTTTATCCGCGAGTTTGATGGACTCCATCATTTTTACCACTTTGCTATCGATTTCATCACTAGACAGACCCTTCAGTTTTCCGAAGAACCACAAATGCTCCTTAACAGTCAGTCGATCGTACAAAACGTCATGTTGTGGACATAAACCTTTTTGAAAATAGTAAAAATGAAATAGACGATTAACTATTTCAATGGAAGACAGTTAGGTCGTGAAAATAAAAAAGACCATGTCTCTAGACAGAGTTGCTTTAACTTAGTGATAATGGACCGAGCGATTTAGAAATATCCCAATAGTGTATGGGATTGAACAGTTTAATCAAATGCTAATTAATATCGATTATTCTAAATACGACATTAACACGATGTTCTTAAAATACATTCTTAAGTGTAGTTTTAAGTTTTACATACTAGTGGAACTGTAAGTAGCTAGTTGAACTATACTCTTCATTTATAGAAGTTACATACTAGTCAAACTGTAAGTAGCTAGTTGAACTATACTCTTTATTTATAGAAGTTACATACTAGTCAAACTGTAAGTAGCTAGTTGAACTATACTCTTTATTTATAGAAGTTACATACTAGTCAAACTGTAAGTAGCTAGTTGAACTATACTCTTTATTTATAGAAGTTACATACTAGTCAAACTGTAAGTAGCTAGTTGAACTATACTCTTTATTTATAGAAGTTACATACTAGTCAAACTGTAAGTAGCTAGTTGAACTATACTCTTTATTTATAGAAGTTACATACTAGTCAAACTGTAAGTAGCTAGTTGAACTATACTCTTTATATAGAAGTTAGATACTAGTCAAACTGTAAGTAGCTAGTTGAACTATACTCTTTATTTATAGAAGTTACATACTAGTCAAACTGTAAGTAGCTAGTTGAACTATACTCTTTATTTATAGAAGTTACATACTAGTCAAACTGTAAGTAGCTAGTTGAACTATACTCTTTATTTATAGAAGTTACATACTAGTCGAACTGTAAGTAGCTAGTTGAACTATACTCTTTATTTATAGAAGTTACATACTAGTGGAACTGTAAGTAGCTAGTTGAACTATACTCTTTATTTATAGAAGTTAGATATTAGTGGAACTGTAAGTAGCTAGTTGAACTATACTCTTTATTTATAAAAGTTACATACTAGTCAAACTGTAAGTAGCTAGTTCAACTATACTCTTTATTTATAGAAGTTACATACTAGTGGAACTGTAAGTAGCTAGTTGAACTATACTCTTTATTTATAGAAGTTAGATACTAGTCAAACTGTAAGTAGTTAGTTGAACTATACTCTTTATTTATAGAAGTTAGATACTAGTCAAACTGTAAGTAGCTAGTTGAACTATACTCTTTATTTATAGAAGTTACATACTAGTGGAACTGTAAGTAGCTAGTTGAACTATACTCTTTATTTATAGAAGTTACATACTAGTCGAACTGTAAGTAGCCAGTTGAACTATACTCTTTATTTATAGAAGTTAAATGTAGTTCTTTTCTCAGTCATTTCACATTGTAAATTGTATGAATTTCCACAACCGGCGGCGTAGCCAGCTCCTAAGTTTGGTTGTATTATGTAGATATTTGAGCTTAGAGGCTGGCTAAACCATTGCACCTAACAGTCATAACTCTTTCTAAATGTTTCAAAAACATTTCGTTACTTTCTTCACTGACCTAAACTTGACCGTACGCCATCCATGCTTGTTCTAATGTCGTAACCATTGACAACAGCAGTTCCCTGACTCGGAAAATAAAAACCGGTAAGGACAGACATCAAACTACTTTTACCAGCTCCGTTATGACCAAGAAGAACTGTAATTTGTCCCTCGAATATCTTTAGTGTAACATCGTCCACAGCAACTTTTTTACCTGCATAACACACGAAAGTATAATATCGTAACGTGAAGCCGTAATTAACGGCTTCAAGTTAATTACGGGGGGGGGAGGGGGTGCTAAAAGCTTTAGGGAGACAAGGTGGTAAAGGAGTGATGTAAGACAATGTTAGGGTTTCGAATTTAGGGCAGTCTGGTAATGCAACAACCAAAGGTAGTGTAGAAAGTTGAAACAATGCCCAGGAAACTCAGTTCAACTGTACTAGGGATTTGTTTTGCTAAAAATTGGGGAATTAAAATGTGTCTTGCAGGGGTGAACAATTTATTTAGGGGGGTTAAATCAGATGCCCGGGGGGGCTTGCACTCCCCTACACCCCCCAGTAAATCCGTTCAGGTCATCTACCTTTTACTCCGTCATAGATCTTCACTAAATTTTTGATGTCAATCCCCACATTCAGACCTTGAGGAGCCCTTTCGAACTTCTTCGATGTTTCGAAATTTTCCGCATTTCTTAATGGGAAGGTTTCTTTATCGTTTGATACCTGCGGCAGAAAGATATTTTACCCAAATCACTCCAAATATAACGCACCAAGCTGCATTCAGCAAGCCGCATTTTAAGCTGCATTCAGCAAGCAGTCACTAAACTTACATCGAAAAAAAATTTGACTTGACTTGAACTTCGTATATTGATAAATTAATCATCAGAATCTTCTTAAAATTATTAAACTGCGCATGTTCAGATGCTTTGCTAGTCGTGGAAGATATCTCACACTCCAGCAGCCTAACATGACGGTTCTGACAACGTAAGCAAAACAGCACATACGACTTCTAATATTATGACAATCTTCAGAATGAGGTCAAAAAAATTTATTACAATTAACCCTTTGCTGCATGGCGTTCATTTAGGGCAGCAATCACCAAAAAAGTTGGAGCTCGGTCGGCGAAAAAAGTTCATGCAGCGAACGGTTAAGGCGAATAGTTTAAGCCAGGGAAGATTGTTAAAGCGATACAACGAGACCAACACCAACAGCCCTTCTCAGGACGACACTAACATACACAATCAATATCTGTATTTATAACTGTTGCTAAGCAAAATTTCAAGCTACCTTTTCAAAGCTTCCACACCAGTAGCTCTTGGTGAATGGGAAGTAAAAAGGTTTCGAAGTACCATACTGTCCTGGGAACACATTTTCGATATACCATGTAAGCATACCATATATGGCACAACTAATAATCATCATGATGAACACAGTCCCGAGGGAGAACGTGTCGTCCACATCAACACCATGAAAAAGGTTATCCCATTGAACGCCGCTACCGGATCCTAGAATGTAAAAAACGTTTTGGCGGGATCATTGGTGTCAATCCTGTGTTAATTGGGGTTATTCATATATTCTGTTATGCCAAGCTAATTTCTTTTTAAAACAATTTCATTTCAAAAGAAATCATACGGGCATAAAAGAACATATGAATATGGTGACCGCAATTATCCCAGGATTGACCTTCATGGGCGGGATTAGTATTTTCGTTATTTAGAGAAAAGGAAAACGTAAAATTAGAAACAAAATTGGAAGTTTTCAATGTCGGCCTAAAAACTACATGAACGCTGCACAGTGGTGTCAAGCTCAATAATTATGGGGAGGGGGGAGAGGTAATATTCATAAAGGCATTTTTTGTCAATTATGTTCCTTTCAAATCAATTCTTTTATTTTGAAATTTTGAAGTTTGAAGCTTTGAAATTTCGTTAAATGTTAAGCCTGGTTAACACGAGTAAAATAAGCACGAGCTTCGAGGCTTTTGTTTCTATTGCTCTAGAAGTTTATAAAGACGAAGACATCATGGGATTTTCTTTAAATCTTTTTGTTCTTCTTTTGCTCTTCTCTTAGCTTATGCTTAAATATTTTCCTTATACTTGCGCTTATGTCCATGCTTATGTCACATGCTTCGTTAATTATCTTTGTTTTGTCTTTTGTCTACACTTGTGCTTATCCTTATTTTACTCGTGTGAACCAGGCTTTAAGTTCCCAGGAGAAGAAAAGCTTTCGCGATAGTACCAAAGATATGTAAAACATGCATGAAGCAGACAAGTTAGAATCTCTTTGCATCAGTAACATAGTCATGAAATCATCACAATAAGTCGTCAATTCCTACAGGCATTCTTTGTACACCCTGTATTCAGAAATCAATTCATTGTTCGTAAATTGTTGTTAACACTGTGGTTACTAGGATCTTTATAAATTCTTTATGAATTACTGAGAAAAGTTGAAAAACGCTTTATTATTTACGGAAGCATCGGTTCAGAACCCTTATTAAGTAAAACTAAGGCTTAATGAACTTATATGAGCATGAAGAACATCCCTTCTCAGATGAAAGTAATTTAAAACGAAAGCGGTTCAACACACACAGTCCATCAACGTTTTAACTTACCTTCAAACTTGCCGATGACAATCGCTCCAAGAGAAATGCCAAGATTTGGTATGAGGCATGCAATTGCTTTGAGAGTGAATGACATTTTGTCGTAGTATTGCCATATGAAGAAGAATAGTATGAAGGAAATATACCAAATTATAGCACAAACTTTGGCAGCGGTGCTCACTTTAGAGAAAAAAACGCTTACGAAGAAACAAAACATAATAGAAGAGGTAATATAAAGCAAAAGATAGATGAAAAATATTGTGGGTGCTGTTTTGTCGATAACACTCCCATTACTGTTAAATTTTATCGTGAAAAGAAGCGTCATTATGACAACTGCAACGAGACAAATAAGAAAACTTTGAATAAACCACGCCACCCAATGAAGCCAATGATTGACGCCGATGATTTTTAAAGTCTCCTAAAAAACATGAAATACCTAACTTAATTAGTTTGTTAGAACACATGAATTAAAGATATAGCTTTTATTGAAATGAGTAAAGCTGTAGTAGCAAATCTTCTCAAAAAACTGAACTACAAATTAATTAAAGATGTCGAAAGAGGGCTCAGTTTGACAACATTTTTGGAATGAACAATCAATGAAAACATTTAAAAGGTAGCACTGTCTCTTCCAGGAAGATAAAATTTTCCACCTATCAAATATATTGCAAAATGATCTTAATATGAATTTAATTATCCAAAGAGGTTATTTCTCTGACTTTGATGCAGGCTTTGAAATAAAAAGATATCAGCAAATAATACAAATTACAACTTACCTTTAGCCCTTGTTCCTTCTCATATACAATATTACACACAATCACAAGTGCAGTAAACAAATAAGCAATTGCTATGACGACTGAGATTACAAATTGAATAATTGAACTGAAGGGAACCTTAAAATAGTTTGGGAATGGAAATTTTTCCATGCGAACCGATATTTGGTCTTGAGTAGCAAACTGTCCAATAATAGCTCGATCTACTGCATGTTGGGTAAACAAGAAAGCGGTACTATAATAGTCTGGACTGCCTCCAAGGGAATCATCTTTATTTCTTGGTTCAGAATTTTGAAACCTCGGGAAAACATACTTTGTCAACCAGCCATAGTCATTCTTGCGATGGCGAGAGTAGTCTCCCTTTGAGTTGATGAATCGCAGCTTGTAGTTAATAAAATTAGCCTGTTTTGATGGGAGACGAGTAAAGTGTATACCTCCAATGTATTTGGTAGAGTTGCCTTCAGAGGAGCTCATTATTTCATTAACCATGTCATCCTCATTTGGAAATATTTGCAAGGTGATGTTTTGATCCGGATAAGCATGTTCATTAAGATAAAATGTAAGGTTGTTGAAAAGCTCATGTGACAGTTGAGAAGCATTATTTGCAGCCAAGCCTATAGAGAATGATCTTCTTAGTGCAGGTGGTGGAGAGGTTACATTGAATTCATTCCAAACCAAGGCTGGGCAATCAGTGACAAGGAACAATCGCAAGGCCAGGAGTATGAATGACACGGAGATTGGTAACCCTATTTGAAAAATGGTTCCAATCGGATGTTTTCTTTGAAGCTTGAAATTCTTCCATATCAGTAGACCAAGTTGTTTCAATTTTGACATTCTCCCAGCAAGTTTTTTAACTGGTACCTTTTAAAATAGTCTTAAATTTTCGAAAGAGCTCACGAATGCAAAACCATCAACTCATAAGATCTAAAAAAGAAGTTAAAGTACCATTTACTTAAATAAAAAAACTCCACCATCTTTGTCGTGACACTTTGCTAACACTCATGAGTTAGGAGTCAAAAAAATGCTATTGTTAAATCACGAATTAACGTAGCTTCTTTTACATCTGACCCGATTGCATTACAACTAAGATTTTTCATATACTTATAAGGTTTTTTGTGATGTGACAGCGAGAAACTCTGTAAGACCTCCTTGCCGGTTGACGGATGCTAGTTTTGTACAAAATTCGTATCACAAACTGCTAGCAACTTTCAGTACTACCGTGAAATTGGCACCACATTGGGCACTACAATCAACACAATATTCATCACAACATTCATCACCACATTCAACTAAAATTTATCATTCAAAATGATAAATCGAAAAATCGTCTTTAAAACACGTTTTCCATCAAATACAACAGTAAAAAACAATTCTTAACTGTTTATTACTATTTTACAGTCCTTAACCATCACAATAAATGTATAAAAGTCAAGAAATTGAAGAAAACACTAAGATTTATATTACAGTGTACTTACCATTTCTCTTAATTAGCCTATAATTTAAAAACTACACGGCCAGAATATAGATAATTATATTGTCTAAAATATATCCAAAATCTGGAGGTGGCACAAAAAAATAAGTTAGAGAAAATCATCGACATAGTTAGATGACACGAATTCACGTAATATAATCTTATATAATTAGGTTGAGAATTTCAAGTCATTGCAAAACAAAGGCCTGTAAATAAAAAACTACACGGTAGAATTTTTTTAAACTTGGCCAGAATATAGACAATTATATTGTCTAAAATATATCCAAAATCTGGAGGTGGCACAAAAAAATAAATGACAGAAAATCATCGACAAAGTCGGATGACACGAATGCGCGTAATATAATCTTATATAATTAGGTTGAGAATTTCAAGTCATTGCAAAACAAAGGCCTGTAAATTAAAAACTACACGGTAGAATTTTTTTAAACTTGGCAATATTGTAGATATTCTTATTGTCTATAACATATCCAAAATCTGGAGGTGGCACAAAAAATTAAATAATAGAAAATCATCGACATAGTTAGATGACACGAATTGCGTAATATAATCTTATATAATTTGGTTGAGAATTTCAAGTCATTGCTAAACAAAGGCTTGTAAATAAAAAACTACACGGTAGAATTTTTTTAAACTTGGCAATAATGTAGATATTCTTATTGTCTATAACATATCCAAAATCTGGAGGTGGCACAAAAAATATATCGTAGAAAATCATCGACAAAATCGGATGACACAAATGCGCGTAATATAATCTTGCATATTTAAGTTAAGAATTCCGGTTCTTTAATAAACAAAGCCTTATAAATAAAAAACTACACGGTAGAATTTTTAAACTTGGCCAGAATATAGATAATTATATTATCTAAAATATATCCAAAATCTGGAGGTGGCACAAAAAAATAAGTTGTAGAAAATCATCAACAAAGTCGGATGACACGAATGCGCGTAATATAATCTTATATAATTAGGTTGAGAATTTCAAGTCATTGCAAAACAAAGGCCTGTAAATAAAAAACTACACGGTAGAATTTTTTTAAACTTGGCCATATTGTAGAGATTCTTATTGTCTATAACATATCCAAAATCTGGAGGTGGCACAAAAAATAAATCGTCGAAAATCATCGACATAGTTAGATGACACGAATTCGCGTAATATAATCTTATATAATTTGGTTGAGAATTTCATTGCCACAAACTACGGTTTTTAAACTTGGCAATATTGTAGATATTCTTATTGTCTATAACATATCCAAAATCTGGAGGTGGCACAAAAATAAATCGTAGAACAATCGGATGACACGAATGCGCGTAATATAATCTTCCATATTTAAGTTAAGAATTCCGGTTCTTTAATAAACAAAGCCTTATAAATAAAAACTACACCGTAGAATTTTTAAACTTTGCCATATTGTAGATATTCTTATTGTCTATAACATATCCAAAATCTGAAGGTGGCACAAAAATAAATGATAGAAAATCATCGACAAAGTCCGATGACACGAATGCGCGTAATATGATCTTATATAATTACGTTTAGAATTTCAAGTCATTGCAAAAATGTAAATAAAAACTACACGGTAGAATTTTTTTAAACTTGGCCATAATGTAGATATTCTTATTGTCTATAACATATCCAAAATCTGGAGGTGGCAAAAAAAAATAAATGATAGAAAATCATCGACAAAGTCCGATGACACGAATGCGCGTAATATGATCTTATATAATTACGTTCAGAATTTCAAGTCATTGCTAAACAAAGGCCTGTAAATAAAAAACTACACGGTAGATTGTTTTTAAATATATCCAAAATCTAGAGAGTGAACAAAAAATTATTAATACACTTCACTTTTTACTAAATTGTCTAAAAGTAGTAAACTCTGTTTGGTTGTTAGTACCAAATTAATTATGCAGTGACGTCACAGTGCTGGTTATTTTTTTGAAAATTTGTTCTAGTTGCTCATCGCTTTAATTTTTTCAAAATTTAGTGAATCTAGTGAAGTAAATGACTTGTTTTTGGAGTAGTCGTGACCAAATATTGCTTTAATCCTGGACCTTTACGTCACGGTATAATTAGACATGTGCATTATTTATATTGTATTTTTACAAACTTACTAGATAATTACTTTACTTTATTGTCTTATTGTTAAGAAGAGGCGGGCAAAAAAAAGTTAATCATATATATTAATGTATATGACTTCAAAATAAATAAAAACTTTAAATACTGTTGTCACCCAAATACGCATGTCGTTTGATTTACAAGTTAGACGCCTTTGTTTATAATAGAACCGGACCGCTACTCACTTACATATTAAGTGTCACCTAAATTTGTCGACGATTTTTTACAAATTGTTTTTTTGTGCCACCTCCAGATTTTGGATATGTTATAGACAATAAGAATATCTACATTATGGCCAAGTTTGAAAAAATTCTACGGTGTAGTTTTTTCTTTATAAGGCTTTGTTTGTTAAAGAACCGGAATTCTTAACTTAAATATGGAAGATTATATTACGCGCATTCGTGTCATCCGACTTTGCCGATGATTTTCTATCATTTATTTTTTTGTGCCACCTCCAGATTTTGGATATGTTATAGACAATAAAAATATCTACATTATGGCCAAGTTTAAAAAAATTCTACCGTGTAGTTTTTTAGCTATAGAGCTGTTTGTCGAATGTGGTGCCAACTTCACAGTTAATACCAGAGTACATTCTCAAGGAATATTATTTCTTTTATTTTTTTGTGCCACCTCCAGATTTTGAATATGTTATAGACAATAAGAATATATACATTATGGCCAAGTTTAAAAAAATTCTACCGTGTAGTTTTTTAGCTATAGAGCTGTTTGTCGAATGTGGTGCCAACTTCACCGTTAATACCAGAGTACATTCTCAAGGAATATTATTTCTTTTATTTTTTTGTGCCACCTCCAGATTTTGGATATGTTATAGACAATAAGAATATCTACAATATGGCAAAGTTTAAAAAAATTCTACCGTGTAGTTTTTTATTTATAAGGCTTTGTTTATTAAAGAACCGGAATTCTTAACTTAAATATGCAAGATTTATTACGCGCATTTGTGTCATCCGATTTTGTCGATGATTTTCTACGATTTATTTTTTGTGCCACCTCTAGATTTTGGATATGTTATAGACAATAAGAATATCTACAATATTGCCAAGTTTAAAAAAATTCTACCGTGTAGTTTTTTATTTACAAGCCTTTGTTTAGCAATGACTTGAAATTCTCAACCAAATTATATAAGATTATATTACGCGAATTCGTGTCATCTAACTATGTCGATGATTTTCTATTATTTATTTTTTTGTGCCACCTCCAGATTTTGGATATGTTATAGACAATAAGAATATCTACAATATTGCCAAGTTTAAAAAAATTCTACCGTGTAGTTTTTTATTTACAGGCCTTTGTTTTGCAATGACTTGAAATTCTCAACCTAATTATATAAGATTATATTACGCGCATTCGTGTCATCCGACTTTGTTGATAATTTTCTACAACTTATTTTTTTGTGCCACCTCCAGATTTTGGATATATATGGCCAAGTTTGAAAAAATTCTACGGTGTAGTTTTTTCTTTATAAGGCTTTGTTTGTTAAAGAACCGGAATTCTTAACTTAAATATGCAAGATTATATTACGCGCATTCGTGTCATCTAACTATGTCGATGATTTTCTATAACTTATTTTTTTGTGCCACCTCCAGATTTTGGATATATTTTAGACAATATAATTATCTATATTCTGGCCGTGTAGTTTTTAAATTATAGGCTAATTAAGAGAAATGGAAAGTACACTGTAATATAAATCTTAGTGTTTTCTTCAATTTCTTGACTTTTATACATTTATTGTGATGGTTAAGGACTGTAAAATAGTAATAAACAGTTAAGAATTGTTTTTTACTGTTGTATTTGATGGAAAACGTGTTTTAAAGACGATTTTCGATTTATCATTTTGAATGATAAATTTTAGTTGAATGTGGTGATGAGTGTTGTGATGGATGTTGTGTTGAATGTTGTGCCCAGTGTGGTGCCAATTTCACGGTAGTACTTTCAATGTCAATGAATCGATACAAATGTAAATAATTCTTCTATTTACTTACAATGCCCAAAACGCTCACCAGATTGCGTTTGATTGTTGGTAGGGACTAAAAACGAACAAAGTTGCGAATTTGGCTTTCAAACGTGTTCGATGTTATGTATTGTCGTATGTCATATATAGACTAACAGGAATTCCGTAGCAATATTTTTACATCAGCATCCAGATTTCGTAAAGGTCATAATGGTCACAAGACATCTTAGTCATATGACTGTCACATGTTTGTTATTATTATATTATTATCACTATGACTGTCAAATATTAGTGTTATCACCACAGCGCATGCTCGCCAGTAAAATAAACGAGGAGTGTATTGTTGTTCAATTATGTGTTCAATCATCAAAATTTGACAAATTCAAATTCAAATAACTTTACAGATATAAATAAAGAAAACATGAAAATCAGGTCTTTATACAAACGAAGGAAGTAAACAAAACGAACAAAAGCTTTATTTATTTCAACTTTGATGCTACGTTAGTCAACAAACTCCATAATATTTTCCCTTTTTAATGCGGACCTTTGATACGAAAGCGTTGGAAAACAATAAAATAAACCAACTCTATCATATATTTTTAATTAACTGTTAAACGTCAAAAGCAATCTAGTAGCATTTCCTGTGCACAATCGAAGGTCCAGATTCGTCGTATTCTTGTTTCGAGATCCACATCTGTTGGAAGGTGGAAAGAGAGGACAAGATGGAGCCACCAATCCAGACAGAGTATTTTCTTTCAGGTGGAGCAATAACCTTGATTTTCATGGTGGGAGGGGAAAGAGCAGTGATTTCCTTTGCTTTCTGTCAGCAATAGCAGGATACATGGTGGACCCACCAGAGAGGAAAATGTTAGCGTAGAGATCCTTACGAATATCAACATCGCACTTCATAATGGAATTGTAGCATGTTTCTTGGATACCTGCAGACTCCATACCAAAAAAAGAAGGTTGGAAGAGTGCTTTTTAGTCGTAAATATCGTCAATTTTGCCACCTTTCCAGATGGCGGCTTGCCTCACTCGTTCGTTCATTTGCTGCGGATATAGGCAAGGTACGTATTGTTAGCGTTAGGATTAGGATTTGGATTAGGGATTGGGTATATAGAGGAATATATTCATAGTTGCTGATACAGGCCAGATATGGTTAGCGCTAGGCTTTGGATTTGGATTAGGGATTGGGTGTATACAGGGTTGTATTAATAGCTGTAGATATAGGCCAGTTATGGTTGGAGTAAGTGTTAGGCTTAGAGTTAGGGTTAAGGTTAGGATATAAGGTATAAAGTAATTTTGTACACTTTACCTTAATCATGAAATTTTTAGACCTATCTTCATAAGATGTGGCTTCCTCCTAGCGCATACTTTAATTCTTTTTGCTACTCGGCATTCGTGCATCATTCAATTTGGTTATAAGACATTGTTATAAGACCTTGCAATTAATTTTGTGGTATTTTCAATGTAAATTAAAATGAAACAAATATGTTTATGCTTAGATTATGTACTTATTTATTGAACTTACGTTTTAAAATGACAATTTACTAACGGCCAACTTCCAAAAATTTTACTTCTCATTTTATTCCCCAGATCAGATGTTGAGATTGTATTTCAGATTTACATTATCAATGGCATTTTATCCCACGCATGTTGAGTGGCTAAAAATTTCATAAGATGTGGCTTCCTCCCCTAGCGCATACTTTAATTCTTTTTTGCTACTCGGCATTCGTGCATCATTCAATTTGGTTAGTGTCATAAGACCTTGCAATTCATTTTGTGGTATTTTTATTGTAAATTAAAATGAAACGAATATGTTTATGCTTAGATTATGTACTTATTTATCGAAATTACGTTTTAAATTGACAATTTTTTAACGGCTAACTTGCAAAAGATTTTGCTTCTCATTTTATTTTCAGATCAGATGTTGAGATTGAATTTTAGATTTATATTATCAATGGCGTTTTATCCCACGCATGATGAGTGGCTAAATATTTTAATTTTTTTTTCGGTAGTATGGCTAGATTTGCAAATTATGTTTGGGCTGAATTTATACCTACAACAACAGTGTTTCCCACTGTTGTTCTATGCTCATCTTTCTTCCCTATCTCATCCCTCTATGCTCATTTTCTTCCCTATCTCATTCTTCTATGCTCATCTTTCTTCCCCATCTCATCCCTCCATGCTCGTCTTCTTCCCTATTTCTTCCTCCTATGCTCATCTTTCTTCCCTATCTCATCCCTCTATGCTCATTTCTTCCTATCTTTCTCCTGTATCTTTTGATCTCATCCCTCTATCTCATTTCTTCCTATTCGATCTGCGCCTGATCTTTGATCGCCTGATCGATCGATCGCCTGATCGATCTGACGCGCCTGATCTATCTCGATGATGCGCCGATCTGATCCTGATGATTTGATCTGATCGATCGAGCTGATCGCGCCTGATTCTGATTGATCGATCGCCTGATCGATTTGATCTGATGATCGATTTGCCCTGATCTGATCTGATGATCCTTTGACGCCTGAGGACGTGCTTTGATCTGATCGACGCGCCTTTGATCTGACGATGGTCTGACGCTCCCTCATCTGATTTCGATCGACGCGTTTGATTCATCCTGATCGATCTGATCTGACGCTCTTGATCGATTTCTGAGCGATCTTGCCTTGATCGACGCGCCTTTGATCGATGATCTTTGCCGATCTCCTGAGCTATGCGCTGATCCGATGCGCGCCTTTGATCGATCGAGCGCCTTTCTTGATCCTGAGATCGATGCTTGATCTGATCGATCGACGCGCCTGATCTCGATTTCGAGGATCTGACGCCGATCGCGCCGATCTGCCTTTGACCTTGATTTGATCGCCTGATCTCATCTTCGCGCCTGATCGATCTCGCTGATTGATCTGATCGATCGATCGCGCCTGATCTCATTTTATCTGATTTTCTTCCCGATCGCCTCGCCTGATCTTCTCCCTATCTCATCCTCTGATCTCATCTTTCGTGCCTTTGATCCTGAGCTCGGTGCCTTTATTCGATCTCTAGCTATCTTTCTCTTCCTATCCTCTGATCTATCTCATCTCTTCTTCTCATCATCTTTCTTCCCTATCTCATCCCTCTATGCTCATCTTTCTTCCCTATCTCATCCTTCTATGCTCATCTTTCTCTTGCATATACTCCACTTTCTTCCATGTTTTTTTAACCTTACACATTTTCTCTTCCTTTATTCTTCCCTTTTCTAAATCTTTTCTCGCTTACTTTTTCCTGCCAAGACCTTTCTAACACTGGTATCAAATTTCCTTTAGGATAAGTGGTGGAAAGACAGATGGCTTTGTGTAGATGGTCGTCGAGTTATGTACTTGGAGAAGCAACGGTAATTATATCCTAATGTCTGTGTCATAAGACAGGAAATTGATGATATAAAAGATTCACTTCAATTCGTATTGTTGTGACGCTACTTTGTGCTCAAATTTAATAATCTTTCTGTGCACATATTTTTTATAAAATCAAGACACGTACACAACCCACTGTATTTAAATAGTTTGTAATATATTTAATAATCAGCGGCGTGGGTCTTGTATGATTGTGATCACGTGGTTTATGACGACTTGTTGTCATTTTAAATTTTGTTACTTACCCCTTGATGCGTTGCTGGTTTCTAGGACGCGTTCCCGAAAGGTAAATTTGTATTAGGCACGAAAGGCTCTGACGTCACCTCGGGTTTTAACGAATACCAGGCCCCGCTCGGCTACGGCTTTTCAATTCACACACCAGATCGAGTTTACGAATTCAGTGCTGGCACGGAGGACGAACGGGACGAGTGGGTTAAAGATTTGAAGACAATAGTATCAACGTCACTGACGGAAGAAGATAGAAAAGGTTTGTAAGAATATCTTTCACTTGTGAATTTCGACATGCTTAATCAGATTGTAATTTGTTAAAAGTACTGAGTTAATGTAAATTGTACCATCACCATCTTGACATGGAAAACTGCATATTGATTTTCTTGACCCTATTACGTCATTAACAATAAAAAAGACATTGGTGTAGTCCGTGTTGCATATTTATTTGCATGCCGTGAATGGTCAATTAACGCCTCGGGCGTTTAATAAATTCTAACGGTTGTAGTGAGGAGATAATTTCATGCAAGTTAGGTGAAACTCCCGCGTGTTTCACGATAAGTTCACGCGTTGTTCTCATTATATTCACACTTATTTCATGATAACTGACTAAATATATATCGAGGCAGTTATTGCTTGAGGTTTTGCCAACTGGACAATCGCATAACCGTGTTTTAATAATCTCTTTCCAGCAATTACGTTGAGCGAAGATTTAGAAAGAAAAAAATCTCAACAAAGTTCGTTATCCAGAATAAGTCAAAATTTTCATAACATATAAATTATATTAATCTTTATATTAATTTTTATATATATATATACAGTATACAGTAGCGACAATAGTTCATGTTGCAAAATGTATGTAAATTATTGTATTGTCGTATAGGAAAAGAGCCGTGTGAACAAATTTTATATTTTTAACCGCAGAAATTCATTCACTTTTCATTGATAAAGCATACAATCGTTGATTTGTAAACATTTTCGCTCATGTAACAAGGCATGTTAATGTTTTATAAAATATTTTATGAAATATAACAGTTTTACAATTGAAGAATCGCAGTGTGTTTTTTGAATGCCACCCAAGTTCGCTCTGGAATATGTCACGTGAGAGAGCCTGGCATGGTTCTTGACATTATTTGATAACGTCATACTCAATGATTTAGAATCCAATCCCCAAGATGTGAACGTGACATCCTGAGACAAGGATGCCATCTTGAATGGTGGCAAAAACCAACACTCTCAATCAAAAATAAGCTGAAATTTTAAAAAAATTTTTAAAAACCAAACCTATACTATCAATTCTGCAACTGCGTTTCAATGCAAAAAGCATTTTACTCGTAAATATCGTCAATTTTGCCACCTTTCAAGATGGCGGCTTGCCAAACTCGTAACTAAAAATTTTGGCGGAGTCAGGTATCTAGTAGACTGGGTTCTAGGTCGTGGCATCGTGCTTACTTCATTCGGGTAGTTCTTTTTGGTGTATGCAACATTTAGTGGCGTATACAAGGCGCGATAGAAAAATTTAAATCGACCAAACAATCATTAACACGATAAAAAAGATTTAGTTATAATTCAAAATAAATGGTCACACTGCCCATGTACGACAATATTAATCGACCATCTAATCGTCGTAGCCTCCCAGTGAGAGAGCAAAATTTAAAAATATCTCATCCAGTGTGGTTTGCTTTATAGAATAATTACCGATAACAGAACGGCTGTGCGCATCTTCTAAGATCGCAAACAGGGAAGACCAAGCGCATTTTGAATTGCCTATGTGGTAATTCAACCAGCCATTCTGCTCGTCTCGAAGTTCACTACTTGGGAACGTCTCTGCCACGAATTCTTTTACCAAGGTCGAGTCAATACTAGGCGTGTCACTTGGAGGGTTTACCAACAAAGTGAACCCTTGAAAGAATTTGTTCTTCAGGTGTTGCGGGCTACCGAGAAAGCACAATTTGCCATTTTCCATGATTGCCAACCGAGTACACAACGCCTCGCATTCTTCCATACTATGTGACGTAATCATCAGGCATCGACCTAAGGGAAGAGAGGAGGGAACAAATGATTACCAATCACAAGGCATCGACCTAAGGGGAGAGAGGAGGGAACAAAATAATTACCAATCAGAAGGCATCGACCTAGGGGGAGAGGGGAGGGGACAAAATGGTTACCAATCATCAGGCATCGACCTGTGAGGGGTGGGTACAAAATGATTACCAATCATCAGGCATCGACCAGAGGGGAAAGATTATTATTTTTAATAATAACCAAAATGGCACTCATATTAGGCGGGTATGAACTGCATGTAATTGCATTCTTCAACACATCTCTCCCCCCCGGAAGGAAACCCGCTTCATCACCAGTTTCATACCTTCGGCTCTGACTCTACATAAAGTGTTCCACAACAGTCGTCTTGGAACAGGATCCATTCCAGTTGTTGGTTCGTCGAGAAAAACTATAAGTGAATCGCCAATCAAAGCTATTGCTGTACTTAGTCTTCGTTTGTTTCCACCACTGTAAAAAGAAAAGGTAATCTTTGTATTCGTGATCTAAGGAGCCTGGGATTGCTATAAAAAGATGGCAGATTTTTGACGCGTCAATTGCATAATTTCCACGTAAAATCACTCCTGATGAAGACACTAAACTGGAGAATGTAAGGATTAAAGTTTTAACATCAGATCACTCCTGATGTAGACACTAAACTGGAAAATGTAAGGATTAAAGTTTCAACATCAGATCACTCCAGATAAAGACACTAAACTGGAGTATGTAAGGATTAAAGTTTCAACATCAGATCAGTTCTGATAAAGACACTAGACTGGAGTACATAACGACTACAGTTTCAACATCAGATCAATCCTGATGAAGAGATTAGACTGGATTATATAAGAACTAAAGTTTCAACATCAGATCACTACTGATGAAGATATTAGACTGGAGTATATAAGAACTGAAGTTTCAACATCAGATCACTCCAGATAAAGACACAAGACTGGAGTATATAAGAACGCAAGTTTCAACATCAGATCACTCCAGATAAAGACACAAGACTGGAGTATATAAGGACTAAAGTTGCACAGCAGATCACTCTTCATAAAGAAACTACACAGGAGTATATAAATACTCAGGTTTCAACGTCAAATAAACCAAAATGAATATATAAATAGCAAAACCTAGGGTGAGCATTTATAGTAGAGCATTCTATTTGAAAGTAGACGACGTTTTCTTCTATTATACCTGTATGTTTTAGTTAACATATCAGCGTGTTCCGTTAGCAACACTGATCTCATTAAATCTTCGATCAATGGATTGATCTCATGTCTGGGGACTCCACGAAGTGCAGCATACATTTGCAACATCTCCCGTCCCGTCAATAAATCGATCAAAGCATCAAATTGTGGACAATAGCCTGTTCGTTGACGAACCTTGGTAAACAACATAATTTACATTTAAAATTATAATTTTCATTTACAAAACAACATGTGTAACGCGTGCTCTGATTGGTCGATGCTCGCGTTTGCATCAGGTTATCCAAACATATTGACACATGAAAATAACTCGTACAAAGGCAATTTTCCCGATTGAAGTATTTGTTGTTGACACAATGATTAAATGTAGGAAGGTTTCGGGGGGGAGGGTCATAATCATATATACATATATCAATACTCCCCCCCCAATTATCGATGGTTGACCACATTCGGTACTAAATATACAGCACCAAGTTGCGCAGCCAAATGGTAATGTTTGTTTTCTATGGTGTGGCTACAGAATAACGAACATAAAGAAGGTCCTTTCTCTACGCAGTTAAAACTAGCCAACGTTTTTGTTTTACTTGTTTCAGGAGTAATTGATTTGCAACTAAGGCGTAACGGCAATTGAAATAAATTTCATGCTTGAAATTTGCAACGAACAGTAGCCGCGATTCGTATGTATTATTGTCTTCTCTTGCGTTTACAGGTCTTTGGAGATCAGTTACTGCTGAATCATGCAAAGTCTGAACGTCGGCTGATTTCAAAGACGAGCAGTTTTTCGAAACATCCTGTTGAGCCACTACACTGTGGTAATAATACAGGTGGCACAAAAATGTCAATGAAGTTATCTTCGATATATTCGTCATACTGTGCTGAGGCTGTGTTTCGCTAAAGAATGTGGTTTCGTTGGAGGGAGAAGAACCAAAATGGCGGACAATACAACGGACCATTGAAACGTTTATATTTTACAAGTAATATATTTGACCAATTACCTACAAAGTGGCCGACAACAAGCAACAACTGAAAAGGAGTTCATTTATAAACAAGTAAGAAATTATTTGTTATGTATGTAAGGGTTAGTTGTTCGATCTTTGAACGTCAAATGTAATTCGCTTGGCTTTTATTTATGGCTGGTTACAACTTGTTTTGCGTCGTAATATTATTGAACAATTACATGCGAAGCTCCATTTCGTAAATGAGGAACACTAAACATTGCAACAGAAATATTACAGACATTGCAACGTCAACACTAAATATTGCAAGAGAAATTTACCACTACAAAATAACATCGGCGCAGTCAAAATATTTGCTTGTTCCTAACATGCATTTACGTCATGACAGCGCCAAGTTGGGTGATTTCAACGAAGATTTTCTTCATTTACAATGTAGATGTCATGCAAAATGGCAAAAATTGTGTTGTTGTTCACTCACAGGGGAGTAGTGACATACCACAGTATGTTTTCTTTGTATGCACCATTTCAATGGTATACACAGTGTTGAAAAATCTGCAAACCTGTAATTTGCATAACAGCCTCCTCAATGGCTGCAGGCATACCATTGCGTGTTCAACTTTTTTCGTAATGACGTAAAGAGACTAGTTCGAGACTAGTACGATGGCTAAACTAACGAAACTAACTACGAATATTATTTAATTTACATCCTAAATTCCAAGCATGAAATTCCTCTAAATGGCGTTTATGTCTCCTTAAGGATGAACTACTGCTTTAAAATCTTGATGTCGGATTAGCCTAGTAGCCTGGTGCTTTGAATTATTTGATGATTAATAAATTGAATGTCACGTGGCGTGTGTGGGCGTCGCCCGTTAGCGTGGCTGTTACAAGCGTTACAAGCCGCGATTTTCTCATTTTTTATTCGCGCATGTCGTCCCGCGCTGCACTTTTCGCACAAATGATTCAGAGCATCAAAGCGCCTCGGTACGAGGTTAGCATTTTTACAGTTCGCGGACAGATAATTGAAATAAATATATAACGGAACGTAAAGTACCCATTCAGTTGTAAATTTGGTTCAATGGTCTTTACATGATTCTTCAATTTAAGTTAAAGCGGGAAAGGTCAAACAGATCATATACAGTAGTGTAACCAACTCGACTTTTTACTTCCGCTTTCCTAATATTTTTGTATTTACTGATAGTTAGAAAAAGAGATTTCTAAAGACATGAATAATGGTAATCTTTAAAAATTTACATAGCGGAAGTAAATCTACAGGCTGGCTACGCTACTGATCATATACAACAATAGAAACATACCCGACTTAAATTAGTCTGAATATCCCACGAGTCAAGGACGGCGGTACCCGAAGTTGGAATCACATCGCCTGTTAACATTTCAAACATTGTAGTTTTTCCCGCGCCATTGACTCCCAGTAGACCGAAGCATTCACCTAAAGGTATTAACAAGCTGATGTGATCCACTGCAGCAAATCTTCGACGACCTTTTTTGGGAAAAAATAAGGTGTTAATAAAGAAGAAGCTTTGTTCTTTTATATATTTTCACTGAATAGAAGTTTCAAAACGACAGTGAACTTTC